TGCACCTCTGGCTGACAGTGGTTTGCAGTAAGTATCCCACTGCACAGGTACTGAAATCATTTCTATGCCAGAAAAGACTAGCGGTCCATGCCGTTTCAGGGGTTGTGATGCAGAACAAACCTTTCCTAGAACGTCAACCATTTCCAGGAAACAGCATTCAGGGAGTGATCTATGAAAATCTTTATCTGCAATGTGCACTCTGCTGGTGTGGGCAAGGCTGTCAGGGAAGACATCACATGACGCTGAGGACTGGTACCTGTATTGCTGTAAAACATTCGAAAGCTGTCAGTGTGATGGTGTCCAAAGAACTGGGCAGCTATCACACTGTGGTGCTTCTGCACAATCTCTACATAGCGCTCATTAAACTGCTTTTGGAACCAGGGCTTGCTTCGCTTCTTCTCAAAGATGCCAGGTGGAACATGCCCCACAATATAGACCTGCCAAAATGAGGAACCAAGCTGAGTACAGACGAACTCTGGATTTCTAAGCAGAGGACAGGCTATCCAGACTTTCAGATAAAAGGGGGCTCAGCAGTGGAAGAGATACTGTGGGGGGGAATCCCTTAAGAAAGCATTTTTACCATTTCTCCTGCTTTTGAGGCATTATTCAGCATATCTTCCAGCCATTTGAACTGTCCTGCCGGGTCTTCCATACCAGCAGTCCGATCGTTCTGGGTGTAGTACAGATTAGTGTTGAGGACAATAATTCGCCCTGATGAATTTGGGCTTACAAGCTTTTCACTGTAAAAAGCACCTGCAAAACATACCCAGCAAGAGAAGGACATGAAGGAATGGCCAGGAAGATCTGTGCTCTCAACACCCCATTTCTTTTTTTTGTTCAGCAACATTTGTATAGAAGTGGTGAGAGCCCTAATCTGGACAAGGTGCCAGCACCTGTCAACATTTTGAACACTATGTGTTATAGTTCTCTAATTGTAACAGGATCAGATGACACCGTGATTTGAGTAAAGTCGTAAGACCATAGGAACATAGGAAAGCAGGGCTGAAAGGGACACACACCCTTATGGGGTCAGCTAATCCAGCCCCTTGCTCGAAGAAGGATCATCCCTGACCAAACCATTTCAGCCAAGTGTCTGTCCAACCTGCTCTTGAAAATTTTCCAAGATGAAGCTTCAACAATTTATCTAGGTATCCTGTTCCAAAGTTTGACCACCCTCATAGTCAGAAAGTTCCTCCTAATCTCCAACCTAAACTTCCTCTGCTGCAGCTTGAGGCCATTGCTCCTAGTCTTGTCCCCTGCAGCCAGAGATAAACCCACATCTATGCTCTCCATAACTGTCCTTCAGGTATTTGAAGACTGGTATCAAATCCCCCCTCAGTCTTCTCTTCTCCAAGCTAAATAATCCCAGTTCTTTCAGCCTTTCCTCATAAATCTTGCTTCCCAGGCCCCTAATCATCTTCATGGCTCTCCTCTGGGCTTTTTCCAATCTGTTTGCATATTTCTTGAAGTGTGGGGTCCCAAACTGGGCACAATACTCCACGTGAGGCTTCACCAGTGCTGAAAACAGCAGAAGAATCACTTCTCTTGATTTGCAGGTGGCCCTCCTATTAATACACCCCAATACACTGTTGCCTTTTAAACATTTTTTACAAGAGCACACTGCTGGCTTATACGGTCCACCAGTCCCCCCAGGTCCTTCTCTGCAGTACTGCAGCCTAGCCAGTCATTCCATAGTCTGTATTTGTAAATGCAATTATTTCATCTATGAGTTTTCAATGAAGATAGCTAATGGCTCTGAAATTTCCTTAGCCAGTTCCTTCAGTACCCTAGGATACATCCAATCCAGCCCTGCTGACTTACTTCTCTAATTCCTAATCTGTTCTGTCACTACTCTAGGCTGTTTGACTCCTTCCCGATCTTTGCTGCCAGCTGCACTTGTCATCTGGTAGCGCCCTCAGATCTTTCTGCACCAGTGGTCTCAGAGCTTCTGCTAGGTGATGCAAAGGTTAGGATATGCTTTGTAAAGTAGCCCAGAGTGAAACCAGCTCAGTGTGGTCCTGCACATGTCTGAGAGTTTTCTGTTCATTTGATAAATAGGGAACAAAATCCCTGCAGGATAGCCAGCAACTCTTTCCATGGCTGCTTAAGTCAAGCAAGGTTAAAGGAGATCTAGTGCAGGGGTCGGCAACCCCCCGGCACATATGCTGAGCATGGCATGTGAGGCCATTTTGCTCAGCACGCCCCAGCCAGCCCCGGCTCTGGGTCACTGCTGCCAGCGACGGAGCCTTGGCTGCTCCCAGCAGGGCTTGCAGTGTCCCAGCTGGTTGCTGGGAGCAGCCCAGGCTCTCAGCTGGCAGCAGCTACCCAGAGCCAGGACCAGCTGCAACCAGGAGGCTGAAAACAGCTGTGCCAGACTCTGGATCCCAGGCATCAGCTCTGTACCAGTGCATGCATGCATGCCTTGGAGTGGGCGGTGGGGGTGGGGCCTGAGGCAGCACAACCCTGGTCTCTTCCCCGCTCCCGGCACAGAGCTGGTGACTGGGCTCCGGAGCCCGGCACAGCTGTTTGTAGCCAACCTAGGCTCTGGGCAGCTGCAGCAAGCAGCAGGCAGGCTGCAAACAGCTGCACCAGGCTCTACAGCTCTGGCATCAGCTCCGTACTGGCAGCGACTGCCCACACACCTCAGAGCAGACAGCGAGGCAGCACAGCCCGCCCCGAGGTGTGCACGCAGTCGCCAGCAGCATGGAGCTGATGCCGGAGCTGTGGAGCCCAGTGCAGCTGTTTGCAGCCTGCCCACTGGTTGCTGCAGCTGCTCAGAGCCTAGGTTGGCTACAAACAGCTGCCCAGTCACCAGCTCTGTGCTGGGAGTGGGGGAGAGACTGGGGCTGCACTGCCTCAGGCCCCTCTCCCACCACCTGCTCTGAGGCACATGTGCATGCTCCGGTACAGAGCTGATGCTAGGGCTCCAGAGCCCGGTACAGCTGTTTGCAGCATCCTGGCTGCAGCTGGTCCCGGCTCTGGGTAGCTGCTGCCAGCCTGGAGCCCGGGCTGTTCTCAGCAGGCAGCTGGGATGCTGCAAACCCTGCTGGGAGCAGCTTGGGTTCCAGCAGCTACCCAGAGCCGGGGTAGCTGCTGACAGCCACAGAGCCCGGGCTGTGGGGCAGGGGGACAAGCAGGGCATCCTGCCATGTACCCCCTGCCCTCATTTTGTTTTTCTGGCATGCCGACACTCCAGCACCTTCCAAGGTAGGCATTGTGGTGTTTTTTGGCACTCTGGCCAAAAAAAGGTGCCTACCCCTGATCTAGTGTGATGATGACAGTCTGTAGACATCAATCTAAGCACTAGAGAGCCAGAAAGAACTTGGTGCATCTGGGTCCAGCAGTATCATTAAAACATCCCCTTTATATTCATTACAATGCAATCCTCCAGTTCCTCTATATTGAGACACAGTACTGGGACATTCTTTTATGCAGTAGTGAGAAAAGGAAACATGAGGAAGTGGCTTTTCTTCTCCCCAGAGAAAGTGAATTCAGCACATGCGAGTGGTGTGAGGTTGGGTACTTCCCCCAAGTACAGATATGGCCCCATCTCCATGGATGGCAACACTGCTAACAGCACAGCAAGAAAAGAATGCCCCAAGAATAGCCCAGGAACTTTCCTTCATCTCAGCAATGCAGACAGCATGAGGCAGCAGTACCAGAGGTTCAGAACTTGCCTGCTATGAACGTTGAAAGGGAAGCACTGCTGAGCCAGGAGTGCCACAGCTCAGCTGTTTTGTTGTAGATCCTGTGCCTCTCCCCTGGAAACTGGTTCTTGGGGTGGAAGTCATGATTGCCCATTGCAGAATAGACTTTAGTGTCTACAGGGAAACAGAAGAGGAAATGTGAAGACATTTCTGCCTGTTTCAGAATACCAATGCTTACGAATGCCAAGTGAGCTTACAGCTTTGGAGGTAATAAAATGGTGCAGGAGTCTGACAGTGGGATACAGCACCATTCAGAAGAAGGCCCCATATTTGTGCTTCCATGAACAGGGGATGCAGTACATTTAGACTCTGTACCAAGAGCATGATGCCATGGAGCTGGTAAAATGCTTTCTCCCCACTGTTGACAGGTTCAAGCAGCAGCAGATTTCTCAGATTTTTCTTCACCTTGAATTTTTTTAAAGTTGTTTCTTTTCAAAGTTCCTCTCTTGCAGTGCGTTTTTCTTTTCAGCAGTGAAGGTAACTAGGAACAAGGAGGGCAAGCCAGATACCCTCCTTACTTCCCCTATGTACAACCTATAGGAATGAGATAAATAACTGTAGTGCCTGCTGCCTTTATGCTGATCCCTTAGATGGCCCTCCTTTTCTAGATCTATTGTCTCTGCACACTCAAACTGCTTTTTCCTCCCAGTGAGGCACTGGAGTCAGATAGTTGTTACACTTCACCCTTCTTTATTTGCCAGATCATACCTGGAAATACACGTTTTATCAGAGCAGTCAGATTTCCAATTATTTCCAGCACCACTTCTTCTCCAAGTCTCTCATTGGGGACATGAGGCGTATCATCACTAGAAAACAGCACAAATATCAGATACAGCTAGCAGTGGACCACAACAGCCTGTGTAGTACAACATGGACAGACCTTTGTGGTGCAGTTAGTGGTGCGCATGGCAACTCAGACTTTATAATCTTTAAAATCTCATGGTTGTAAAGCCAAGCTAGTGGGGATTCTTTTGGGAGAGAAGTATGAACAGTTGGCATTTGCAATAGAAAACAGTTGTCTTCAAGAACAGAAAGAAAGATGTGACTACAACTATTTGTTTGCAATTGCTGATCACTGAGCAACAGCACTAACACTAAGCTATTGACATTTCCCTGGGAGTGGAATTGAAAGTACTCCTGTACATGGCATCCCAACAATGACATTCATAAGTTTATCTTGTGATCACGTCCTTTCTGCCACTGCTGGGCACGACTTCCTTACCCAGTCCAAAGGATGAAATCTGGAGCAGGCAGAATGTTCTTCATGGCATAAATGGAGGAGTTTATGAGACTCCAGGGAGAATCGCACAGGTAATTTCCCCACATCCCAGCACTGGATACTGGCTGGGATCCAGCAGATGGACACACCTTGAGAGGATCTGTTGTCATGGTGTACTCAGGATCCCAGTGGAGGTCTGTGACATGCCAAAAGTGACCTAACAAAGACAAAAGAAACATGATAGTGCAGAGAAAACAGTCACCTGGAAGAGCTGGCCAGTGGGGGAGTCATGAGTCATAAAGTATTATGATGGTAGACTCACACTGCTATAGTTTTATTGAAAGAGTTCATCAGGCAGTGCCAGCTATTCCAAAATAAGAGCATCTTCTCTGGCAATTTACCAGCATAACTCTAAAGCCATTGGTCTGACACACTGTATGCCAGCACAGTGCAAATCAACACAACAATACAAACATCACAACGCAGTGCAGCGTAAATCATTTCCTTAGTGGAAACATTGCAGAGCAGCACAACCCACAGCACAGTGCACTGCAAGGTTGAGTGTTTATGAGATGCTAATAATCCAATATCACAGCAGTTAGGTGGGCAATCCATAACCTAGCTAATCTCCCACAGTAAATCAATCATATTTCACAGCTTGAATAAACTCAGCAGCACTTTATCATGAGTGGGTTTGGGGCCTTCTACTTCCATCTGGGAGACACTAGATGGTAGGTGAGCAAAAAAGCCACAGCAGGTAGCTCCCTGCAAGCCTACAGAGCAACTAAAATCTCTGATGGGTTTTGAAACTACAAAGACATCACACTTGTCTTGCAATAAATTATTTTATCCCAGGACAAAGTGCAGTCATTCAGATGTCCATGTTTATCTTCTGGGAATAAATCCTAAACAAGGTTCACAAAATTAGAAGTACTAACAGTTAAGGCTGTGCGAAATTTTGCTGGCAGTTTTGTTTTGACTCGTTTCGAGCTCGAAACAGCAAATTCGAAATGAAACAGAGAGCTTCAAAACAGCCTTGAAATGAAACGAGGCAAGTTAAAACATTTCGAAAATTTCGAAACGTTTCGCGTTTCAAAGCTTAAACTGGGCTTGCCTGCAGGGAAACAGAAACTAAAGTAAGGAGAGGGAGGAGGAGGAAGGGGGGGGAAGGACTGCTCTCATTATTAACTGTGTAGCTGGCCAGTGACTGTCATCCTTTCTTGAGGTCCCCTCCAATCCCAGTGCTCTGGGGGAGGGATGGAAAAACTGCAAAGAAGGCAGCATTGTTTGAACTGCCCTGCTTTCTGCCTTGGTGTCAGCTGAGTGAGGGTGCACCTTAACACACACACACACACACACACACACACACACACACACACTGTCACCCACCCATGTCACAAATGTTGCCTGTCAGCAGCTAGAGGTGCAGGGCCCCAGAACCCAGAACCCCTGCACCTATCTCCTTGACAGCTGGCAGGCTTCATGGCCACAGCAGGGGCTAGCAGGCCTGCAGCTTTCACCCTGCTGCGCCTTAACACACGGTGTCACCCATGTCACGCGTTTTGCTTGTCCACAGCTTGTGGTACAGTTTCCCCAAACCCCTGCACCTGACTCCTTGAAAGCCAGCAGGCTTTGTGGCCTCAGCAGGGGCTACCATCCCTGCAGTTTTGACCCCGCTGTGGCTTAACACATGCACGTGACATGAGTTTTTTGCTTTCAAGACTTCGAGGTGCAGTTTCCCTGAAAACCGTGCACCTATCTCCTTGAAACTTGGCAGGCTTCATGCCCTCAGAAAGGGCTACCATTCCTACAAGTTGTATCCAAATCAGGTCAGAAATGACAAAGTTATAGGCTGTTTCAGGCTTCCCCATTATAGCCTATGGGTGAAATGTCGAAACAGCTAAACTGTTTTGACTAAACGAAACGGAACAGCGGTTTCAAATCGAAATGAAATTTAAAACGAAACTCAGTTCCATTGAAACACGAGTCAAAACAGAATGGTGCCGTTTTGCACAGCCTGTTCCAAGGTAAACACAGGCACAACTTGTCCAGGAACAAATGCAAATCTACTTCTAGAGTCAAAACTAGGAACTCCCTGAACTCATTTAGCCTAGGCTTCTGTCATCAAAGAGAGATGGGGTTAGGGCAGTGGTTCTCAACCTTTTAGGCTCAAGGCACCCTTCAGAAAATGCCAGCTCTTAGTTTTCACTTTTCACTTCCAGAATATAGCATTTTTTTCTATTACAAAGAACTCAAAAAGACCACAAAAGGTCATTTTTTAACACTATGGATTCTTATTTGAAATCACTGGGTTTATCTTGTGAATCATGTTTGCATACCTAACAGTGTTAACATTGCATGAGATCTCATGGCATCCCTCAAAGGATCTCAAGGCACTCTCAGACACTGGATTAGGGGCTGACAAGGGATGTATGTCCTGTGCATGTCTCCAGATTGTATGGAAAGCAACGTGGCAGAGACCTTGTTGGCTTGTACGCTGGTGGAAGCCTCAGAGAATATTTTGGTTTTGCTTAGCCAAAGCCTCCTGTACATGCTCCCGCTGCTCAGACTTGGCCTTGTCATGAGCTTTGAAGTGAAAACCATGGAACTTTGGTTTTTCTTCTGTCACTAGGGTAATGGCGATTCTAGCGGTCCTGTTTACATAAGAGAGGAGTTTGGTGGTGTTGTTTCTGGCTGCCCAGCGATAGCCACTGCTGGGAGATCTGTGAAAGCATTGCTGGATGCATCTATACGTGCACTTTAATGCGCAGTAGCCTATTTTACTTCATATTAAAGCATCTCGTAAAAAACTATGCTATTACACTAATACACTGTAAAATAGGCTACTACACATTAAGTGCAACCAAAAAGCATGCATTTGGGCTACTGTGCATTTGCGCATTAGGCTGCCCTTTAATTTAGTACCTCACACTGGAGAGCAGACTCAGTTAATTGAGTCTGCTCCGTATGTGAGCTGAGGTGAACTGTGCTGTGCCGTGTGCAATTGTTTAAGTGGCAAAATGTGCATCAGCGCGCAGAAAACGGTGGCAGTGCACTTTTGAATTAAAGCACCTCTGATGTGTTTTAGTTCAAAAGTGCGCTGCCACCATTTTCTCAGCGCTGATGCACATTTTGCTGCTTATACAACTACAAGCGTCACAGGGCCAGGCACTTTTCAAAGTGCCCGGTGCTGTGATGCTTGCATGTGTAAAAATGCCTGGAGGTACTAAATTTAATGTGCATTAGGAAAAGTGCATTAAAGCATGTGTAGACAACCACTCAGGGTCAGCCTGCGTCTCCCTGCAGCACAATGTGGGGATTTTGAGACGCATTTTCTGCTCCCTGCTTGGTTAGACCAGTAGAATCAAGCCCCCGTGACACACTGGGTACATCTACACATGCAATTAATGTGCCTCGATTTTCTGTGCAGAAAATTCAGATGCATTAAACTGTGCTCCGACATGCATCTGAACACGCGTCTGTCAAGAGCAAATTTGCTCCTGATGGGAGTTCAATCTAGGGCTGCTCCTACCCTGTTCTGCCCCCCTGCACCAGCCAAGGGGAGCTCCAGGCTCCCCCAGGTGCCAGCCCTGGGCTGGCAGGGGTCATGGGAGCTGATCCCGATATCTGCAGGGCAGAGGAGAGCTGTGCTGGTTGCTTGGTAGCTGCTTTCCAGCCCCATAGAGAGTGGGGCCCAGCAGCCTGGACAGCTATCCCAGCACATGGAGATCGGGACCCATCCCAATCTCCACATGGCTGGTAGGCAGCATTCTGGCAGCTGGGACAGCTCTCCCTGTCCCCTACGGCTCCCTGATACCTAGGCTGACCAGAAGCAGTTTGCTACATGTACTAGAAAATGGCACGTTAGACTAATCTACTTTGCTACAGGTACTATCTACAGTCATTAGACTTTGCTACAGGTAATATCTACAAGTACTAGAAAATGGCACATTAGACTAATCTACTGCACAGTAACTGCACACGTGTAGATGGAGACACTACTTTATTAGATTAGTACAGTGTGCAGTAGAATGTCTCATGTAGATGTACTCACTGTCTTGCTGGGAGGGGCAGGAACAACACCCTGGGATGCTGGAGGACTGTGCTGTGACTTCTCATAGAAGGAAACGTACAAATATTTGCTTTCCCAGGAGAAAAATCTCCTGGGAGCAATTTAACCCTGGCGGTTCCCAGTTTCTTTTTCTCCTGGAGTGGCTATATTTGCTCTAGGAAAAAAATCTTGAGCATCTGTACACTCATGGTTTCTAGTGGAAGAGC